AAAACCCGAGGTCTGTTGCAAAATAGTTTCCAGCATCCTCACGGAAACGGTAGGTCCATACTACCCGGGAGTTTGTCCATCAACGCAAACCGACATCCCGAGACACTATGCTAGAGTGCTTAACAAATAACTTGCAGGTTTTTGTTTAATGGTGTTGCATATGGTACCGTCTCCTTACTCAAAATATTCGCTTAGTTATGGGTTATTTGCAACGAGCATTCATCTAAACCTAACATTACTGGTCACAGCATAGCATGAATTATTAAGAGTATGAGCATATTCTAGTCCGGAGGTCTTAATCCTGTAGAGCATTGTATTCTGGCCGATCCCAGAACAGGTAGAATGACCGAATGTATCCTGCAGATTGTTGGAAGTAAGCAAATTAAAACCGGCATCTATAAGACTGCCTTAGATCTGAACTAGAATATTTAGGTATTTAGTCTCTAGCACGCTGGTGAGCGGAAGGAGGTTGAATCCATTCGACACCACCAGCAGCAAACGATACTTGATCACAGATCTTGATCATCTACGACTGAGCCAACCGCAACAAGAATACTTTCACTCCTGTTAACTCGTCACCTTCTAACCGCTGACTATCATGAGCGTCTTCTTCATTTTCGTTATTTGGCTAATCCAGTGAAACGCCATCTATTCTCTTCTGTTCGGGTGACAGTTGGCTGGGTTGACGTAGTTTGGAATGTTCAGACCGTGCGGAATCCTCCTTCTGGCTATTGTCTGCCGAAGGGAGTTTCGGTGAAGCCCAGGAAGACTAGGGATGGTCATTTCTGGCTTGTTAGCCGTCGTCAGTCAGACTTACCCAACCCCAGGCCATCAAATGACATTAAATCCAGCTTCCCTAACCACCGAACACGTCCAACGTAGGTTAATAATAACAATAATAATGACAGGACAACAGGCCCGTGGCGCAGTGATTAAGAGCGCTGAACTTAGGAAGGCGCGGTAACCAAGGGATGCGAGCTCGAGGCCTGGGTGCAGTCAAAACCTGGACTTGGTTGAGACTGGCTGACGACGGCCAATAAGCCAAAAATGGCCGTCCTCCTCTGTCCCTTGCCGGAAGTCCCTTCCTGGTCGCTACATGACCGGCCGCAAAGGTTCCAAATTGTGCACAACGGCATGGGCAGATTCCTTAACCCGATTAGTGCGACCGCCTACAATATGAAGACTATTTTTGCGTTATAACATATCATAGTAGCAACACAGATACTTGCCATAAGCTCATGCACGCGTGTTCCCTCGATATTCCGTCGCTGTATGACGCAGCTGCGAGGGATCCGGCTCGTCAGTGGGTCCTCCAACATTCCCCGTCTTCTTTCTGGTAGATATTACAATTAAGAAATTCTTGCTTTCGTATTTCTTTGGAAATTAACTGCGATTTTTGAGTGGATTAGTATATTCTAGGTCTGTATGCGCAGACCGAGACTTTTTATACATGAATATTTGGGCCGAAAATCATCAGCCGCAGCGGGCAACCGCGTAATATTCATTAATTGTCGACAGGCAGCTACTAGTATAGTTTTTGGTAAGGGGATGCTATAGTAACAGCGGAGGTACTAGCTAAAAGACCATACGCGCGTGTTCCGCCGATTTTTCTGTCGCTGCATGGCACAGCTGCGAGGGGTTCGGCTCATCAGTGGACTATCTAAAGTATCTATAAGAAAGCTAGAATATACTACTAGCTGCCTGTCGGTAGTTAATGAATATTACGCAGTTAGCCGTTGTGGCTGTTAGACTTCGGCCCAAATACTCATACATCACATTTTGGTCGGCGCCCATAGACCATAGTATAACCTCATCTACTCCAAGTTCGCAGTTAATTTCTGGGTAAATTAAAAAAGCGACAATTTCTAAACTAGAGTATCTACCAGAAAGCAGACGGAGAATGCTGGGGGAATCCCCTACTGGATCGAACCCCTCGCTGCTGTGTCATGCAGCGGCAGAATATCAGCGAAACGCGAGTGTACGGGCTTTTAGCTCGTACCCCTCCTGCTAGCATGGTATCCCTGTAACCCTAAAATATAATATTAGCTGCCTGTCGGCAGTTAGAGAATATTACGCGGTTACCCGCTGTGGCTGATGGCTTTGGGCTCAAATATTCATGCATAAAGGATCTCTGTCTGAGCATACAGACCTGGAATATACTGATCTACTCCAAGTTTGCTGTTAATTTCTGAGAAAATTAAAATGTGATGATGCGGACCGTTGTTTGTTTTCTGAATTCAGAGGAGACTGAGCCATTGTTGGATGCTGAGCTATTAGGGACTTGAGTTTTGTTCGTACTCGGAGGGACACAGGCACCCGCCCAAGTTCCCGATGTGCAGTAAACGAGGGGAGACACTAGCATGAGGGATTTATTGTGTTCAGAACTCAGAGTCGATGTCACAGACAGCAGTGACTAGGCCAGGACGTTTTCCGACAGTGTTAAGTAGTACCCAGGAGAGAGAGAGCCTGTGATGTCACAGCTTTCATAGGTATTTGGAAGTAAGTTCCAGTAAGTTCCAATGCGTGCGCATTGGTTGACAAAGTTGCGCAATTATCGATTGGATCTCAGTACCCGTCGAAGATATTACAATTCAGCAACGTGCTGACAAGGGGCGTTCCACGGTCGTATTGGACAGGACAGACTACATTCAGAAAGCCAAACGCTTGTTGGAAGATCGTCAGTCCTATATCCCATGCGAATCCAAACCATAAAAACGCTGGCACGTGATCTTATCCCCTTCTTCTGAACGCCACAATGGCCTGGTTTTTGTTCCCTGAGTGGGGTCACACACTGCGCCTTTGCCGAGAATTGATCGACTTTTGATCCTGTGTGGCAGTTCGCGTCTCCTCACCCTCCGCCTTTGTCATGCTGCCGTCCTGTCCGCCTCACAGTCCTTGTCGATACGCTGCTGGGACGCGCGAGTGCTCGAAGCCAATCAACGCTGTCCCCACTCTGATTGGCTGGCGACGTGGAGACAACGAAGGGCGCATACACGCGCTGACACAACACATCGCCGATTACCACATTTGGCACCTGCTCCCTCTCTCTGGACATCGGTCTCCGGCGTTTCTTCTCTTGGGTCTTCGTCGTTGCTGACATCCCCTGTGCAATTCTCGGTGCAGATTTCCTCGCCGCTTTCTATCTTCTGGTAGACTGCCGTCAGTCACGTCTACACGACAAGACCACCAACCTCGCTGTCCGGGGTATCTCTTCCTCCGACGCCTCTCGTCATCTTGCCGTCTTGGACCCTGAACCCCAGAATCCAGTTCGGCAACTCCTCGCCAAATACCCCGGCCTCACTCGTCCCAACTTCAACGTTTCTATTCCACCACATGACGTTGTTCACCGCATTCGGACCACCGGCCCTCCCGTGTTTTCTCGCCCCCGCCGTCTCGCGCCTACACGTCTTGCTGCCGCCAAGGCCGAATTCGAGCACATGCTTCAAATGGGCATCATCCGTCAGCCTGAAAGCCCACGGGCCTCACCCCTCCACTTGGTTCCAAGGGCCGTCACCAGTGACTGGCGCCCCTGCGGTGATTACAGGGCCCTAAACAACGTTACTGTCCCGGACCGCTACCCTGTCCCACATCTTCAGGACTTTTCTGGTGCCCTATTCGGCAAGTTTGTATTCTCGAAGATCTATCTGGTCCGTGCTTTCCACCAAATTCCCGTAGCCCCAGAGGACGTTTCGAAGACGGCCGTTACCACCCCCTTTGGCCTCTTTGAGTTCCTGCGCATGCCGTTTGGACTTCTCAACGCCTCCCAGACCTTCCAAAGATTTGTAGACAGAATGCTTCGCGGCCTACCATTTTTCTACGCCTCTATCGACGACCTTCTGGTAGCCAGCTCCACCACCGAAGAAAACATGGAGCATCTGGCAACGGTGTTTGACCGCCTTCAACAATTTGGCGTTGTTCTCAACCCGTCCAAGTGAGTCTTCGGTGTGCCCTCCCTAGAATTTCTCGGTCATCTGGTCGACTCCCATGGCATTCGGCTTCTTCCCTCAAAGGTTGCCTCCATTCGGGACTTTCCACCCCCTACCTCGAAGCGTCAGTTGCAACGGTTTCTTGGTATGGTGAACTTTTATCGCCGGTTTCTCCCGAAATGTGCCGATACCATCCTCACTCTGACCAGTCTCCTCTCAGGTTTCAAGCTCACCTTTGAACTTACACCAGCAGCACTCACGTCATTTGAGCAGGTAAAAGCCCTTCTAGCTGATGCCACCCTCCTGACTCACTTTCATGCTGATGCACCCATATCTCTGATGGTCGATACCTCCAATGTTGCTGTTGGCGCGGTTCTTCAACAAAGTCTGCCGGATTCTACCGTGCCTTTGGCTTTCTTCTCCAATAAACTATCCAAAGCCGAAACCCGCTACAGCACATTTGGACGTGAACTTCTCGCCGCTTATCTTGCCGTAAGGCACTTCCGGCATTTACTCGAAGGTCGAGAGTTCACAATTTTCACTGATCATAAGCCACTCACGTTTGCAATGCATTCCCACTCTGACAAGCTAAGCCCCCGGGAGATCCGTCACCTGGACTACATTTCGCAGTTCAGACATCCGCCATATTGACGGGTCACGGAATGAGGTGGCTGACGCACTCTCCAGGCCCTCTATTGCTCATCTTCAGCTTTCAGCCGAGATAGACCTCGCTGAGATGGCCGCTGAACAACGCCGTGTCGGTCCACCCTGTGACGAGGATGTTTCCGGACTCCATCTTCAGGAGCTACCACTGACAACTGGCAACGGCACTATTCTATGCGACGTATCCACCCCATTCCATCGTCCATTTGTGCCACCATCCCTCCGCCGTAAAGTTTTCTCCTCCCTGCACAATCTCTCTCACCCTGGGAGTCGAGCAACCGACAAGCTGGTTTCCGACCGCTTCGTCTGGCCTGGGATGCACAAAGACCTGAAAGCATGGACACGGGCTTGTATCGCCTGTCAACGGAGTAAGATCCAGCGGCACAACAAGGCCCCCATTGGCATCTTCCCTGACCCTGGTTCAAGGTTCAGCCACTTTCACCTGGATATTGTAGGTCCCCTGCCTCTGTCCAGTGGTTGTTCCTATCTCCTCACCTGTGTGGATCGGTTCACTCGGTGGCCTGAAGCTATTCCTCTGCCTGACATTGCTGCTCCAACGGCGGTCAAGGCTTTTCTCAGTCGTTGGGTTACTATCTTTGGTGCACCCTCCACAATCACGACTGACCGTGGTGCCCAGTTTGAGTCTAATCTCTTCCAGTCTTTACTCTTCTTTTTAGGCTGTACTCGCATCCGGACGACAGCCTATCACCCGGCTGCTAACGGGATGGTCGAGCGGTTTCACCGCCAGCTGAAGGCCTCTCTACGCGCCGCGACCGATCCGGAGAACTGGACGGACCACCTTCCCCTGGTCCTCTTGGGCATCCGCTCCGCTCTGAAGCCGGACATTGATTGTTCCACAGCTGAACTGGTGTTCGGCTCCACCGTCCGACTCCCCGGTGAGATGATCTCGCCAACCCCGCAAGGTGCAGTTGCGGATCCTACCAACCTCCTGCATCGCCTCCGGCAGTTTATGCGGACACTTTCTCCGGTTCCTCCCAGGTCCTCCGCCTCTCCGTCTTATCTCGAGAAGGATTTGGCAACGTGCTCTCACGTCTACCTTCGATGTGATCGAGTCCGCCGGCCTCTGGAACCGCCCTATGACGGCCCATTTCGGGTGCTCTCTCGTGGGACGAAGACTTTCCGCATTCAGCGCGACAATCGTGAAGATGTCGTGAGTGTGGACCGCCTCAAGGCTGCCGTCCCTGACACTCCTCCGGATGAGCCCTGTGTTCCTCAACCTTCTGCTTCCCCCCATGCAGCCTCTATTCCAACGTCCTGTATACTTCCTCTGTCCCCATGTCCGCAACCCACAACTGCAACTGCTCCTTCATCAACCAACAATACTGTAACCGCGAGCCATACTCACTCTACTGCTGTGCCCCCTGTATATATCACCCGTAGTGGACCCCATGTTCACTTTCCTGACCGTTTGGTTACTCATGTTTTTTAGACATCATCAGTCCCTTCGGCATCGCTACGCGCCGCCTTCAGTCTAGCCCGGGGGTACTGTGGCAGTTCGTGTCTCCTCACCCTCCGCCTTTGTCATGCTGCCGTCCTGTCCGCCTCACAGTCCTTGTCGATACGCTGCTGGGACGCGCGAGTGCTCGAAGCCAATCAACGCTGTCCCCACTCTGATTGGCTGGCGACGTGGAGACAATGAAGGGCGCAGATGATGATGACGATGACAGTGATGGTGATGACGTTGATGATGAGGATGACAGTGGTGGGAAATGGGCCGGGTAGTTAGACTCAGAGCTATCGGAGATAGATTGGGCACCTGAACCCCCGTGATGGAATGTGGATCAAATTTCGTCAGAAGGAAAAGAAGAAGAGATCGCTGGAAAAAGGGCTTTATTCGCCTGACGTTTCGGATTCTCACTTGAACCCATCATCAGAGACAGAGGCAGAAAAGGGTGAGTTGTGCACAGGAAGTTGCAGTATTTAGAGGATGCAGTCGCTATGCTACCGCATACCTATAGCAATTAACCGCACTCCCTTTCATAAAGGAGTGTTGCCCGCTGGTGCTCTAATTGCTTGATGGCCGGCATGCAGGTTGGATGCTGGCGTGATGATTGCTCGACCATCTGGCTCACCGGCTTGCGCGCTCCCCGGGTGGTCAATTACTTTGGCCTTACCGACAGTGTTAAGTAGTACCCAAGAGAGAGAGAGAGAGAGAGAGAGAGAGAGAGAGAGAGAGAGAGAGAGAGCCTGTGATGTCACGGCTTTCACAGGTATTTGGAGGAAAGTTCCAGAGTCCAGGCCGTATGCTTTGCATTATCCAATGAATGACGTGTCTAGTGGCTTCCGTTGCATCAGCTGGCGCGTCCAAGAGGGACATGAATGAATGTGCGCGCGTATGCGCGCGCTCATCAGACTGTTGCAAGGTCATTGTGTGTGGAACCACTTGCAGGGGAAGTCGGTTGACCCGGAGGCGGCAGGACGTTGAACAAAGACGCCGGGAGAATCCCGCTGAAGGCTGTTGACTACAGGTGCGCCGAATTCATCTTCCACAACCTGTGTCTCTCCCCCCCCCCTTGGAAGGGACCGTGGCGGTCTCCGCTGCTTGTGTTCTAGCTGGAGGACAAGTCAGTCGGCGGCGGATTGCTGGTCAACCGGCCACCTCTTTGTTCTACTCTCTCCACCTTGTGAGAAGGAATGGAACATACCGACGCATTTGCGCCCCCATGGTCAATAAGTCCTACTCCAGCTTGTGGTCATATCTGGTAGGCAGTTTATTTTTCTCCCGGACATCCTCACCACTCAGACGCCGTGTGGTCCTTCTTGACTTTCAGCCTGTCGTCTCCTCGCGTTAAATGTTTCAGGGTTGGGGTCTAGGGCTGCAGTTACGGGCTAGGGTTATGGTTAGGGCTAAGGTCAAAGGGTTAGGGCTTAGAGTTAGGAGTCAGGGTTAGGGATCAGAGTTAGGGGTTAAGAGTTAGGGTTAGGGGTTATAGCAATTAATTCCCAAGCATTCGAAGTGCAACAGCGCATTCCCAACAGCTTTTCTTTTGTATACAACTGACGTAAATGGTAATGTTCTCACGAACTAATGAGTCATATCTCACGAGCCCCTAGCTTTTACAGCAGCAAGTAAAACTGAGCAGTGAATAATGCAGAGATTTTGAACGTTAAGAAAACTTGACAAAGGAGCACGACGGCGGAGCACGCTAGCAAGGCGGGTTGTACAGGTGTGTCCTTTCTCGTCACACTCAAACAAACAATCCGGTCAAAGAAAATGGGACTAGATTGTCAAAGGTGAATTAGTCCGGTACCTCACCACACAACCACTTTCCCTCGTCGCCATTGCGTTCCCCGGCCCCACCTGGAGAAACCCCTGTTGCCACCGGTCCCCTATTACAGCTGGCTGGGGTTTGTCTGCCTCAGGTGGGGCTACATAACCACATCTAACCGAGGGTTTAACTTATTAAGGCGTGGGTTCGGGGTTTGGGTGCGAAAAAGACCGGTGCCTGGGAAGAGCTTGTTGGCGAGCGACGTATAATAAACCAGAAACGTCTATTCCGGTCTTTACTGTCTTTGTTCTTCCTTTGGACCTTTACAGAACAAGCACTGATCGAGTAGTAACCAGTTTTCCGGACACGATATGTTTGAGCCACTTATAAGGTCTGTTGTTGCATTTTCGGAGACAAGGATGAGTGAATGACCATTGCGGTTTTATTCGCCGTCGTTAAGTAGCCATTCTGGTTTAGTTGGATACTGAGCTAGCCGCGATGCCAAAGGCTCACACTACTGGCTGCGATCGGGGTTAGTCTAGGCAACACGGTACGCCAGTATTCCGTTCTGAAGCTGGGCTAACAACGCAAACACGTGACTCGGGCTGTCACATGTCTCGCGACGTAATTTTAACAATGTGATAACTGGTCTACTGAAATATTATAAGTAGACAGTCTCATCAATTATAACTACAAATAGGTGAACGTGCGCATCCCAGGTGATCAAAGCTTTCCATCAGGTGATTGTCTGGGCGCCACTTGGAGATAAAGATAGCCTCGGGGAAAACTACATACAGGAATAAAGTTTCATAACCTAACAGTAGTCCTTGGGAGAAAATCGGATATTTGTGAGACAGATCTCTGTAGCTGATCTTGCATACGGAACTTCCCTACGACGACCTGGTGAGTTAGTATCTTCTTCAAATACGCTAAAGTCTTTTGAGCCTTACAGTTATGTGAACCGGCTACGCGTTGCCATGGGCAATCTCCGCGCAACCCCCCTCTCGGGCTTCAGCAGCCCGTTCCTTAATCGCTCCCGACCTGGATACGTACGATTTCGTCTTGGTTCGGCATGACGCTGTCCGACAGCCACTCCGACCGCCCTATGCCGGGCCGAATAGAGTCCTCCGTCCATCTAACAAAGATGTTGCCATCGATTGCAACAGCAAAACCGACACAGTCAGCATTTATCACGTCGAGCCGGCCCACATCGAAGTCGGTGACCATACCTCACCCCAACACTACACCTCGCCGCAGTGATGCCTCCTCCGGTTCGCCGCATACGATCTGGTCGCCACGTCCACTGGCCCGACAGGTTTGTGGCTGGCTAGCATGTCGACGCCTTCATTTCTTTTGGTGTCTGGGGCGGGGGGAGTTGTAGTGGCCGCTCCAACACCCCCTTCTCCGACTCCGTTTTGTTGATCGATGGCCGCGACAACCGTTGACAGGCGGTTGACATACGGCCACCCCCACCGGCCAGAACTGAGGCACCACCTGTCCAACTGCAGTGACTCCCTGCTGCCCTCACATTTTCATCCCCTCACGCGCGTTTTGAGGAGTATTCCTCCCCTGATTCGTTCAATCACATGACCAACAGTCAGCTAGTCACCCATTTCTGCTGACACAGACATGCACTCCAGCGTAAACAATACACCGCGACTGACGCTCTCTGGGAACGGACGCTTAGCAAACCACCGACTCATGGCATCTTGTCCTGTGTACAGAATAAACCTGTTCTCACAGCTCCCTGACTTTTGACATAAGACGGAACGAAACTATTGTGTTGATCATACATTTGATCATACATCCGTGACCACTACACATTGGTGACCCCGAATTTCGGAACACTGGAATTCTGCAAATGTTTCGTTCACAAGAACCGTCCTCCGGGAATTCACAGCGCCATGTTGTAAGACCAGAAGTCACTCGTCCACTCAAATTCTCATGGAGCAAACGTACGCTTGGACCGATTCGAGGAAGTATTAAAACGACTGAAAGCCCAATTCATTGCAGTTACCTCTAGCGGTACACGGCGAACACCAAACCGTCGGCAGATTTCCTCCGTTTCTTGCACCCACCGTCCACAATCTCCAAGTAGCATGTGTTGGTACCGCCAGCAGTTCGGAGAGGCAGCTCGGCGATAGCTACAGCCACCATATTCATTTAAGCCACCTTTCAAGGCCCCGGGAAACGATTCCGCCCGGCAGTAGAGGCGAATGCTGCCGGGAGCGCTGTTGATCTCCACACTGGCCGTTTATTTCTCTGGGACCGTATCGCTGACACTAAATCCCTCGTTGATTCTGGTGCCAAAGCTAGCGTGGCTCCACCAACACCGGCTGAACGCTAACAACGCGGTTCTTTTTGTCTAACATCTGTCACCAATTGCAGCATTCCCACATTTGTGCCAAACACCTGACTAGGTTTCGTTTTTGTTGGAGAGATACGAAACTAGCGAAGTTCGTGTATTGTCCAGACCAGGTTTTCTTGCGATAGGCGCTCCTTCGGATGCTACCGTCAGATCTCCTGTTTAGAAGGACATCTAAGAAATGAAGCGAACCGGCCGATTCCATCTCCAACGTGAATTTGGTCGACGGATGTGCTCGGTTTACAGCATTTAGGAGGGCAGCAACGTCGGTTTCTGTGGTTGCAATCCCAAAGATGTCATCAACGTAGCGACCGTCATGTATATGCTTTTCGATCTGATCGTTCAGTTGAAATCTCTCCAGTTTGCCCATGAAGACGTCGGCTAAGAGAGGTCAAAGTTCGCAGTTAATTTCCGAAAAAATTAAAATAAACACTAATGAAGACTGTTGTTTGTTTTCTGAATTCAAGGGGATTGAGCCATTGTTGGATGCTGAGCTATTAGCGGCTTGAGTTTTTTTCGTACTCGGAGTGACGCAGGCATCAGCCCAAGTCTCCGATGTGCAGAATAAGAGGGAAAACACTAGCTTGAGGGATTTATTGTGTTCAGAACTCAGTGGCTTGGCCAGGACGTTTAGTAGTGTTAAGTAGTACCCAAGAGAGGGAGAGAGAGCCTGTGATGTAAGCGGCCTTCATCGGTTTTTGGGAGCAAGTTCAAGTGTCCAAGCCGTATGCTTTGCATTATCCAATGAGTGACGTGTCTAGTGGCTTCCGTTGCATTAGCTGGCACGTCCAAGATGGGCATGGATGACTGTGATTGGCTGAATGTGCGCGCGTATGCGCGCGCTCATCAGATTGC